TCACCACCAGTTGTTGCAATTTTGCAGCTGTCGCACCAATGCGATCCCTAAGATCAGGACTGACTGCAGAAGTGGTAATGCAAAAGTTAGAACAAACATAACCCAAACTCTGGGTCCGTTATGCAAATGACATCTTTGTGATTATCAAACACACAAGACTAGGAGAAACCCACCAACACATAAAAAACACCCTCACCGGAATAAAATTCACAAAAGATAAAGAGAACAATAACCGACTACCCTTCCTAGACATAATTATAGAACGTAAAAACAACGGTGAACTCCTGACTAGCGTATACAGAAAGACCACACATGCAGACCAGATACTTAATTACACCATCAACCACTCCAACATCCATAAACGGAGCTGCATCAGGACATTATTCCAATGAGCCACAACACATGACAGCAACCCAGAACTGTGCAAAACAGAGGACTTACACAAAGTTTTTAAAAGGAATGGATACCCAAAAAGCACAATCCACCATTACCTCAGCAACAGACCACAACAAGACGACAACACAGCCAGATACACTAGTCACCCCACCATACATTAGAGACATATCAGAGATGGCCACAAGACGACTCAGGCCCCTGGGTATCAGGGTAACTCACAAATCAACAACCACCCTGTGATAGCTACTGATGAACGTAAAGGATCCCATACCTATAACCAATAAAACTAACATAATATACAAAATACCATGCAAAGATTACGGGAAAAATTACATAGGCCAAAAGGGAAGAAAACTGACAATAAAGATACACGAGCACCAATTAGCCACCAACAGACATGACCAATTCTCACTGGTATCAATACACATGGTCAAAGAAGGTTACAAGTTCGACTTGAACAACACATCCATAATAGCACAAGCCAACTTCGACATGCCAGGGAATTCCTGGAGGTCTGGCATTCCAACCAGAACTACATCAACAAATACACTGAACTGGGCCCAATATAGAAACCACTGAAAAACAGAACCGGAAGTGATGCCAACTACCCCAGCAAACTGAGGCATATAAATAACAAGCAGGACAGAGCACCAACGCTTCACCGGAAGTACACCGACGATGTTACCTAGCAGGGTGACGAAACATCCGCAATCAAACCCACCGTTTCGGCGAGCAAGCTTACAACCTCATCCACAACCCAAGCTACAAATCTTCTCAAAAACTTTAAACCAGGTTATGTTTGAACTTTCTGCAATAATACACCAACCCAAGGTAAGACCTAAGCTCCAGTATAGATGTAGGATGCTGGGCTCCTTTGATCACCCTCACTTTATCTTCTAACGGCTGTAACTTCGTTTTGTTGACTCTGTAGCCTAAGTAGGTCACCTTTGGGTGACTGGAATACACATTTTCCCTTCTAAGGCATACACCCAGCTGGGAGAAACATCTAAGGACTATGTCTGAATGCTTCTTAATTGGTCTTCCCTGTTATCAGCGTGTCATCTGGATAAATGGCGCCCTTGGGGGAGACCTTGTAAAACGTTCTCCATTGTCCGCTGAAAAACTGCACAGGCTGATTATACCCGAAATCGCAGCCTCGTATATTGGTACAAACCCTTATTGGTACTAATTGTCGCATACTTCTGGCAATCATCATCTAACCGCAATTGCAAAAATGCATGGCTCATGTCCAGCTTCATGAAAGACAGACCCCTGCCAGCTTTGTGTATAAATCCTCTATATGTGGGACTGGGTATTTATCCAGCTATGAAAAGCAATTTACCATTTGTTTAAAGTCCCCACAAAGGTGAACTGATTTGTTGCACTTCACAATCGATAAGAATAGTGCTGCCCATCCGCAAACTTTACTTGTTTGATGATTCCTTCGCTTTCCAGCCTTCTGATTTCTGCCTCTACTTTTGCGCATAACACAAATGGCACTGGGCGAGCCTTGCAGAATCACTGAATTGATTCTTGGTCAACATGCAGGTGGCCTAGGCTCCTTTGATAGACCCTAGACCTTCCTGAAAAATGTCTGCATATTTAATTAGGACTTCACTTGGGCAGGCATTTTCTAATCGAAAAAATGTTGAACCAATCTAGGTGAATTTTTCTCAACCAATTTCACCCCATCAGGCTTGGGCCTGAATCTCTTACTACAATCAATGGTAACTGAATCAGCTTCTCATAAGAGACCTGAGGCGAAGTTGTACCCTTAATCTGTAAAGGTTTCCCCAGTATAGGTTTTCAGTCTGGCCAAGGTCTTGTGTAAACTTAAGGACTGCGGTTCAGAGCAAATTTTGTTAAAGACTGTTCTCTGATCAGTGAAATGGCTGCACTGCTCCATTAGAACTGGATGACCATTTAACCAGATGTTTATTTTGATTGATTCTGATTTGATTGTTCCTGAGCAATTTAAATGTTCCAAACCAGGTGTAGGTAGATTTTCCAGGGTATGCTCTCTCCTGGATAGCGGTCCATCTCTTACCCCATTTAGGCCTAGTTGGGCTCTTGTTGTCTTGAGACCACACACTGGCTGCAACGACAATTGGATGCCAGCCTTGATCTTGAAGAAAATTTTAACCATTTTGCTGAGGCTTTGCTTTGGGATTTTGCTGTGGGCTGACCAGTGTCCTTCTGTTCAGGATATGTCCTGAGTGAGGCTATTCAATTGCCATCACTCAAGTGGTGTTGCCCATGCGCAGCTGGACTGGCGAGGGTTTCCACTTCCGTAGGAATACCCAACCTCTCACATGCTCCACTTGCCACATTTTACAATGACAAAGCCACTTGTGCCTGTTTGAAGTCCAGTTGAACTTCAGTTAGTAGTCGCTTTTGCACGGTAACATTATTAACCTTACAAACTAAATGGTCTCTCAGCATCTCATTAAGAGTTAAACCAAAATCACATGCCTCTGCCAGTCACCTTAACCTAGTCAAAAATCCTGACATGGATTCCTCTGGTTGTCCTACTGTCAAGTAAATCCAGTAGCATCTCAGAATTAGAGCACACTTGGGGTCATAATATTCCCTAACTAAATTCATCAACTCTCGGAAGGTTTTAGTATCTGGTGCCTCAGGGAAAGTTAGACTCCTAATAAACAAAAAAGCTACAGGTCCACAAGCTGGCAGGAGAATTACTCTTTGCTCTTCATCTGCCCCAATGTCATTTGCCCAGAAAAAATAACACATTTTTTCCATGTACTTGGCCCAGTCTTTGATGGCAGGATCAAACAAATCAAACTTCCAAGATAAGATGCCAGAAATGTTTAACCCAAATAAAAGACTGTTGGGAGCGAATTTCTTCAGGAGCGTGCTTTTCTCTCATCGCCTCTGAAATAACTCCACAGAGGCTGGTATCCCAACACCAAGTCACCCAATCAGGGAATTCATATTCTAAGACATCTACCTGGCTGACCTCGTTACAATCACTATAGAATATAGACAGGTTAAGCGAGCGGGTAACAGATGTCCTTGTTCAACCACATGTCCCATTAAGTCACTCTTGCTTTTGCAAATTCATTTTTGGCTAACTTTATTACCAAACCAGCCAACCATGATTGTTTAAACAGGTCTTTGATTTGTCTTGTATGTTCTTCCGAAATGCAACCATAAACAGCAACATGATCCAAATACACAACATGGTTACAAACTCCAGTTATGACTTGATTCATAAGCCTCTGGGACTTGATTCATAAGCCTCTGGAATGTAGCTGAGGTGTTCTTTAATCAAAAATGGCATCATTTGACATTGATATACTGAAGGCATTGTACCATCGAAAAGGACAAGGATAGAAGATGCATTGGAACACAACCACCAGGAAGTTCCATTCCATGTCACTAATCATCCTGACAGAGCTATGCCATCATTCCTTCACTGTTGCTAGGTCAAAATCCTGAAACTTCCCAATAGTATTGTGGTTACCTACACCACAAGGACCGTAGCAGCTAAAGAAGGAAGCTCACCATCAACTTCTTCATGGCAACTAGAGATTGGCAAATAAATGCTGGCCTAGCCAGCAAACCCCACACCAAGAGAAAATAACTAAAAGCTCCGGACCCTTCCAGAATAGCTTTCAATTGTTTGGAGATACTTATCACAGGGTTGTTGTGATGCTAGCAGCACTCCCATATCAACCTACAAAACCCCCCCATATGCTAGGACCCAAAACCCATTACCTACTGAACCTCAGGGTACAACATTTAGTCAGTGTCGTCCCTGGCATTCCCTACACACCCACAACCTTCACCAACCTCAAGTTGACACCCTGATTCCTCTTCCAACTGCAACATGAGCCACCTCTGCACACTGGCCCCATACTTACCGCATCAAAATTTTATTTCACCCAGAAAATAATGAATGCAGACACTGACTGGATAGAATCCAGAGTAGGAAAAGGCACCTCAGCCACAGCCACTAATTTATGTATGATTACTCTGTCATAACGCGATGGCCCAATCTTCCTTCTAATTCATATGAGTGTACGTCTTTATGTCCTGTGTAACCTGTTCTCATACATTTTTCCATTGAACTTGTAGTACTTCTGAAGCCACCAGGGCCTTCTCAAAATACCTTAATTCAATGTTGGCATCAAGGCTTCAAAATGATTCAGAATCCATTGGAGTCTAATCTATATATCCTGCCAACTTACCACTATCTTGAAAACCAATTTAAAAATTGTTTTTCACTTTTTTTGTGGTGGCGGGTAGTTAAGGGGGCATTTCCAATAATGCTCATCAAATTATTCTGCTTTTCCCTCACATGGGAAATGAAAATTTTCCATAGTAGGTGCAGATACTGAGGGTCTTGTTTGGATGTTTGGCTGCATTGTGGAAAAAAGGAAGTGCGTTAATGAAATACATCTTCTTTTTCCATCTTCTATCTTCCCAAAACTTGAAGAGTTTCTAATGTCTGACCTCACTGGAATATTGTCATTTGGTTTGGCACCAGGTTATAGCAGAGCCTTTACTGCACTTCACATTCAACCATCAGCATGCCCATCTTGGGCTCACTGAGGTTCATTAATGTTCGGTTATGTACTTACTCTTTTGGTGGATTCAAATCCTCTGGGCGAGGCTCAAAAAACCGGAGTACTTCATCACATTGCGAGATTAGAGATGGCAGTCGGACCAGAGACTAGAGTGGATTAAATAAGCAACGTTACACACTAAAGAAAAACCAATGCATAATCACATAAAAACTTCAATAACGTTATAAACATGATCAGTTCCAAAGAAGGGTCATATTGGAGTCGAAATATTAACTCTATTTCACTTGCCACAGCAACTGACAGACCTGCTGAGTTTTTGCAGCTATTTCTAATTTTATGACAAATATGGATATTGTACTCATCTCATTATTAAGGAGAGTTCAAATGAAAGTTTTTGAGATAGAGATTAAATGTGTATCTTTTATCGTATTGATTAAAACTGAAGTCTGTGTTACATTTCATGATTTTAGAACACTCGTACTAATACATTTATTAATGATAATTTAACAATAAATATTTTTGGCTCTCTGTTTTGGTGAGCTCTAGCTCCCTTCTTGTGCCCACCATCAACCCACACCCTTCATTGGGTAAAGTATTTCCATTTACCTATATATCTAGGTATATGCCTTAGGAAGGAACAGAGACCTTGTAGTTCTGATGAAGGATAAAACGTGTGCGTGTGCGTGTCTCTTTCTCCACAAAAACACCTACGGCCTGACAAAAGTCAGTTTCTTGTCTCCCATCATTTGCTGTTAGCTGTTGCTTTCCACAAGCAAGTCACAGATTTTATAATTCATAAACCAATCACCCTGTGTCTTCTGTGATGAAGTGAGAGGATTTGAAGGAAAAGATCAGCGAACTGAAGGGCTTGGGAAACAAAAGGAACCCTCCACCAAATCCTGAGAACTGGTGCCAGTGAACTGTTCCACTGCATTTTCTTGCCTCAAACCAAACCACCAACTTTTTTGGTCTGTCTGTGTCTGTCTGAGTATATAGAGGAGTTTTAGAAGGGGGTTAGAGTCTTAATTAGTTGAGTGGTACGTCAACAGCTATTGTTATTTACTTGTGGTTAAAATCTCTTCACCTGTAATGTTCTTGTTAAGTATAGAAACCCAGTCTGTGTTTTCTATTAATCTGTCTGTCCAACAGGTAAACTGGGGATTTCCTACACTTTGATAAAATTTTTTAACTTCTATGATGACTCGGAGAACAGTGGGACTCGATTTCCACTAGTGAGGTGTAACATTATTTGTTTTGGCTTCAAAAAGTCCTTTTTCAGTCATCTTGCTCCATGATCTTTCACAATATCACTAGCAGACAATAACATCAATTTCCACATTAATGCCCGTGGCAATTTATTCCATGTTTGAGTTCCGAAGAAGTTATATTGGACTCAAATCATTAACACTGTTTCTCCTGACAGATGTTGCCAGACCTGCTGAGTTTCTCCAGTACTTTGTTTTTATTTCAGATTTCCAACCTCCAGAGTATTTCATTTTTATTAATGCACATTTATGCCAATGGTTACCAGATGAAAACCATCACTGCTCCTTGTTGTCAGATGGTTTATCCCAAATCTAGTTTTGAATGAGCCACAACTTCCTCCACCTAAACACCAAAGCCCGAACCTTACAATATTTTAACTACATTAGCTAAATTACTAACCAGCACCTATGGGGCCAAGAGTGTGCCCGTTGATCAAATATTCCAAATAATCAAGAGATATGAAAAACCACTGTAAACCCCAACCAAGCGAAGCTTCAAGACATCAACATCCCTCAAAAAGTCTATGTAAAAATATCAACACACCTCCTCAAATCAACGTAAAAAACACACAGTAAGTAATAGAAACATAATGAAGAGGGTATACACATAACTGTTACACTTTATTTACAGCACAGATACTTGGACATCACAGTAGATTGTGGCATTTGAGGTATATAATTTTTGCTAATTTATCAAGAGTGCCGGTTAAAGCAAAGCTTGCTGTTATGACGACACTACGCCTTTAAGAAGGACTTGTTCTGTCATGTTTCTTTTGAAAACAAGTGCTGTGAACTTGGGAGCAAGCAGTCTGCTCTGAGCCCAGCAATATAGCTAGCTTTTTTTTAAAAATTGGAACAATAGAAACAGGATTTTAGTTAACTTTCAGTAGTTGCTGGCCAAAATATTGCAGATGCTGGAAATCCAAAATAAAAACAAAGTGCTAGAAATACTCAGCAGGTGTGGAGAGAAAAACATAAGGAATTGAATATATCCTTTCCCTTTCCACAGATGTTGCTGAGTTTCTCCAGCATTTTGTTGTTCTTTAGTTTTACAAAAGGCCCAAAAATAAAGTGAATAAAAATTGGTAAAAAGCATTGGAAATTATGGAATGAGAGTGGAAAAGAATTATTAGGATTAAATCTTAACCTTATCACAGGAATAGAGTCTGTCCAGCCTGTATTATTATTCAGTTTAATCACGGCTAATCCAGATCTTAACTCCAACCACCCACTTTGGTTCCATAGTTTTTGCTTAACAAAAATCTATCAATCTATTCATCCACTCACAACAACTCTTTGGATTTAGCCTCTCGTGGGAATTTTCTAGATTTCCACTACCTTTGATGTGAAAAATAGCTTCCTGACATTATCACAGAATGGCCTAAATTTAAGGTTATGCTGTCTTCCTCTGGAATCTCCCACAAGATGAAATAGTTTCACTCTATCTGACCTAACAATGCTGTAATCATCTTAAAAACTTCAATTGGATCACCCATTAATCTTTTATTCTCAAGAGGATGCAAGCCTAATCAATGCAGACCTTTAAGTCAGGTATCATTCCAGTGATTCTGCACTGCACTTTCTTCCTGAGGTGTCGTGTCCATAACTGAGCACAGTTCTCCAAATGTTGTCTAAGCGGAGGTTTATAAAACTGAAACATACTTCCATACCTCTATACTCCAGCCATGAAAGATAAAGGCTAACACTGCATTAGCCTCTTGTACCAGCTGTTAAAATCCTCAAGTCATAACTACACCAATTCAGACCCAGCTGCTTATTCACATTCTACCCTCCATAAATCTGAAGTCATCCAAAACTCTGCTGCCCGGGTCTTTACCTGTTGCAGGCTCAGTTCACCAAATACCTCTTTGCTCACTGACCTATATCTGTTCTCAATCAAACAACATCCCGACTTTGAAATGTTCAAATTTGTTTTCAAATTCTTCTAATGCTTTATCATCCTCTATCTCTCCTCTGACACCACAACCTGCCAAGATATCAGCATTCATTTGACTCTAGCTAATATTAATCACTCTAATAGGCATGGCTGTGCTATAAACCTCTCTGCCATTTTATTTCACTTGCCACTTTAAAGCACTCTTTAAAACCAATCTTTTTCACTCATCTTTTGGTCAATTAATGTATCCCACGTGGCTTGGTATCATAATTAGTTCCATAACAACCCTGCAAGACATCTTTCAGTGTTTTATTACATTAGTTACTTCATAAATTGTTGCTGTTGATTCACTTATATTGACTTCTGCATTATCCCTATATACAGCTTAAGTTCATTCATAGTTCTTAGTTTCCTGCAATTTAACAAATGTTTTGATCTTTCATTTTGAGGTCCAAAGAAACGACTGCAGACTTTTCCGCATTGAACTCCATCTGCTAGTTTTGCCCAGATATTTTTTTTTCATATTCATTTTGTGGGATGTGAGCGTCGCTGGCTGGCCAGCATTTCTTGCCCATCCCTAGTTGCCCTTGAGAAGGTGGTGGTAAGCTGCCTTCTTGAACCGCTGCATTCCTCCTGCTGTGGGTTAACTCACAATACTATTAGGGAGGGAATTCCAGGATTTTGACCCAGCGACAGTGAAGGAACAGCGATTTAGTTCAGAGTAAGGATGATGAGTGACTTGGAGGGGAACTTGGAGGTGGTGGTGTTCCCATATATCTGCTGCTTTTGTCCTTCTAGATAGAAGTGGTTGTGGGTTTAGAAGGTGCTGTCTGAGGATCTTTGGTGAATTTCTGCAGTGCATCTTGTAGATAGTACACACTGCTGCTATTGAGCGTCGATGGTGGAGGGAGTGAATGCTTGTGGATGTAGTGCCAATCAAGCGGGCTGCTTTGTCCTGGATGGTGTCAAGCTTCTTGAGCTTTGTTGGGGCTGCACTCACCCAGGCAAGTGGGGAGTATTCCATCACCCTCCTGACTTGTGCCTTGTAGATGGTGGACAGGCTTTGAGGAGTCAATCTCTCAAAGCCCCTTTGTAACTTTTGCTCTTATCTATGAGAACAAATTTGCATTAAGATAACATATTTAGGAGAGTAAAATGTCGCAAGGTGCTTCATGGTAATGTTAACAAATAAAGTTTGACATCAAGCCACATAAGGAGGCAGACGGTGGCAGTGGTAGCAGAGGGAGATAGTGGTGTTGAAGTAATGTCACAAAATAATAACCCACAGGCCCAGGCTACTGCTAATTCCATGGCAGCTGGCTGAATTTAAACTCAGTCTAACCTCAATCAAGCTATTTCAAATTGAAAATTCATGACCATGAAGTTACCATCCATTGCTGCAAAAACCCATCTGGTTCACAAAAATCCTTTAGCACAGGAAATCAGCCATCCTTATTTGGTCTGGCCTACATATGACTCCACACTCATAGCAATGTATCTGACTCTTAACAACCTTCTGAAATGATCCCTAGCAAGCCATTCAGTTCAAGGGCAATTAGGGATGGGCTACAAATGCTGGCCTTGCAATCGATGCATGCATTCAATGAAAGGAAAAAGAAAAAAGAAGCAAATGTTTGGTTAAAGACACAGGTTTGAAGGAGGTTTTTTTTAAAAAGTAGAAGGTAAAATAGATGAAAGTTTATGGTGCAAATTGATCAGCTTAGAATACAGACAGCTGAAAACATTATGTCACTGTGCCACTTCACTTGGCATTGTGAGCTTAACAGAAGAACACAGGGAATAAGAACTATACCACCAAGACTCCACATGTCTGCTCCACTGTTCAATAATACTGTGTGTGACCTACTTCTGGCAATTTATAGACATGGTGAAAAGCTATGGCCCACTGCATGTCCCAAGGGACACCATTTGCAGCATCTAATTAATTGGGACTACATACTGATCACGTAAATCATGTCAATAT